TTTTAAGATTGATGAAAGCCAGATAAATAATTCAGTATTAAGCAGAGTACATAAACCTAAATATGCAATATATCACGATAGACGATATATTACTTTTACCGAAGATAACATAAAATTCAATGATATTTTGTTAGATTTTACTGATTTACAACTATTTAAGAGTATTACTAGTAAATTATATTGTTATTATTCATTTTATAACGATGCTCAAGAAGATTTTTATGAAAATAACTTGAACCTTGTCAAAAATAATTCGGCAGTTCATCTATTGGAGGATTTTGAAGTTTACAAAGTGGTAAAGAGAAAATAATAAAGATAATCTATAGGATTCAACTTTTTTAGCAAATAAAAGAATTTATATTAACAATGATGATTATAGAATTTATTGAATGCAAATTCATTATAACCATAATAACACATTAGAATTCTGATGTAATTTCATGTGTAATGTTAAAGTGGGATTTTCTCTTCCAGTTATCTTTTTCATTATCAGGGAGGGATGCAGTTGAAGTACATCAATATTACAGACTACACGAATCAGTAACATCTATTCGGTATTCAACAATGGTCTTTGTCAATTTTACAAAACATTTTATTGGTTAATATGTCCCTGTGCAGAGCACACGTGCGTAAATCTAACAGAAATATTGAACTATGTGCCGAGTAAGTTTATTTTGATTTTCATGTAACATTGTGTGGTTGGCTCAACATCATATAATCACACATTTCCATGCGATCTAGATAATCATAGGTCAGTTGATACAAATAATAATAATCAAATTTTTTGAATGTATCGGTATAAATTTTCCCCTTAATTAATTAGACTTTTATAATGGTTCACAAAAATATGTTAAAATATTTGACAATTGGAATTTATCTTGACATAAATAAACACTAATATCATAAATACCAGAATATCACATGATGGCCTCGAAAATTTGCTTATTAACCTACCTTTTACGCTCTAATGAAAAAATTCCTCATGATTTTGGTATAGATACTTTTTTTAAACCCCTGACCTAACCCTAACCTCGAAATTGGCTTAATGTCATCCATCGATCAAATCAGGTGCATTCAGGCCAGAATTATTTGATTACATAATTGTTGATGACTTCATTTCACATAAGACAAACGAGTGTAATATCGTTAGCGTTAATGCCTTACTAAAAAGATTATAACCATTTCATATGATTTATACTAATAAAGTGGCTTAACTTGCATGATCTTGCATGATCTTTAAAAATTTCCCGATACAGTATTAATATAACAGAGTTCTTCTCAATTTGTGTCAATTTTATAACGAAAACGGTAACTTTTAATGATTAGTGATCATTTTAATCATTTACGGGGGTTGATTACTTGTGATGATGAATAAAATGATAATAATACTGATTTGGACTCTAGGTATTCCAATGTTTGACAAGTGCAAGCTCTACACAGCGACCTAAAGATGAGCAGTTACGTGCAACTGGTGCTTCCCTTTTACAAATTTTTTTAAATCTCCAGAGATATTATAGTGATGATGGGATTGACTAAAAAAATTCCGATGTGATCAAGGAAACCTCCATCTAAAAACAGTCCACACACAAACTCTATTTTTCGGTTCGCGTAACCACCAGGTTACGTTTTTGAAATGATTTTTATTATAACCAATTTTATTTCATATGATTGAATAATATTAAAGCGCGGTAGATTTTTTTATTATAGAATTATTTGCTTTTTCGACTATTTGGACTAAAGAGTGGTTTACTACGTTTGTTTTTGCCGTAATAGTAATAAAATTCATTATCAGTTGATAGATTTAACATATCCTCTTGTTCACATTGTTCACATCTCATATTCGAACAGCCCATATGAATAGTATGAAATTTCCATCTTACTTTGACAATTTAATTTATCATTGACTTTTATTTTTAAAATAATTTCGAGAACTCATTTGTTAAATTCCTAAGAATCCCACAAGTATATTGAATACCATCTAAAATCTACTTAATCTAGTAGTAGATACTTCATGATTATGTTTTACATAACTCGCCATTTATCACATTTTCCACATCGCACAACCATACCAACATTTTTTGTATATTGCGCTCTAGGACTAAATCCCATTCTAAAAAATCTTCAATAGTTACATTTCTTTACAAGAATACCTTCATCGAATAAAATAGAATTTTTATGTTTTACAATTAAGTAAATAATTGGCATCTTGATTGCGCAAAAGTACTATTACTATTAGCGATCAGAGTTCGTCAAATTTACAAAATAAAAGGCGGGTCACGGGTCATTTTCAAAATCCTAGTGTTACGCGAACCGAAAAATCCGGAAGTATATCAACTTGCTTGTTGAAGGCGTAACTTTAGAAGAGTATGAACGTCATGATGATATGCTTACAGTTGGTGCTCGAATTAATTTTTGGCAAAAAAACTTCACTATATCATTATATGGAGAGTTTATATTAAAAATCATTATATTGAGCTGAATTTATATATTATATCATATGATTCACTATATAGTAGGTTCACTATACCGAAGCATAATGGACATCCTATTTATCACAAAGTGACAAAATTGAACGTCGATCTTTTTTATATTGTGAAACAGAAATTTCAATTATTTTAAAGTAAAAAAAGAAGAGGAATATCGGTACAAAAAAACCAATGCACCTTGCATATTATTTTTTTATATTGATAAGTTGTTTATTCTTTTCTTTATGTTTGGGCAAAATAAGATCATCAGATCTTGGTCCTATCAAAAACTAGATGAGAAACAAAATTTTTAAGGCACATAACATAATAATAGTAGCATAGCAGGTCATAAGTAACATGACTAAAATACATTGTAACAACAAAGAATGTTTTGCAAGAACATACCTTCCTTTGAAAACTTTGCTTGGTTAAAAAATAAACCAGTTAATCCAGCAGATTGCAAAATCTAAATCAGAGGTAAAAATTCCAAAAAGTATACATATTTTTTACCAAAGTGCGCAAAAATTAATGATTCAATTACATTTCTTATTCTTTTTCATTTATTTCTTTAGACATAAATGTAATTGTGCTAGAGCAACACATACATACATATTATTTATTACATATTGGGATAATAATAAGTACACTAATAAAAAAGTTATTTATACATGATTGACTCGAGACACAAAAGGTAGTCATAAATGTATACATATATATTATTTTTTTTTTATTACATATCAGAAAGTACACACTAATAAAAAACGTTATTTATACATGGATGCTGTATGATTGACTTGAGACATAAAAGGTAGTCGTAAATGTATTATTTTTTACATACTAATAAAAAACGTTATTTATGATTGATAGATGTTGGCCTTGTTTCTATTGTCCACGCCTCAAGTAAGATAAATAAAAATTTGCTTCCAATATATACTTGATAAAACTTGCACACTTTTTTATAAATTGGTTAAATGTTGGGTTAGCAAGATACACGCAAGAATTTATTTAGTTGGAGCTTCATTAAAAAATAAAATTCAATTACCGAAGTGTTGCACAAAGTCATTAATGATTAATAAAACAAAATATAAACAACGCACAAACGAACTAGAAGACTAGATAAACCTGTTCAATTCAAATAGAATGAGTATTTGGAAAATAGTAAAGAAAAGGGGCTGGACCTAAAAATAATACATTCGGAAAGTTTTAATTAAAGAATGGAAATAAAGAAAGAATTGAATACCGAAAGGATAAGTAGGATCATTGATGGAAGAACAATTGCAATAATGCAAGAAGAAAGAAACGTCAAAACAAGTGATTGTTATAAGATCAAAGTTTTGCAAAACAAAGTCTAGAAAAAAAGAGACTGTTATAAAGAAAATTACAATGAATTAGGAAATGTAAAATGCCGATAAAGAATAACTGTAATTAAATAGCAGGAAAGAATTTTTTTAAGCATTAATGTGGAACACCATGTTTGAATTAAAAAAAGAGCTAAGACGTTAGAAGAAACATAAATGAAAGCGTAAAAAGCGAAGAAATTAATTTTTGTTTCGTGGGAACATTTGAAAATTTCTACTTGCGAACAAAACAATTTGTTAATCTCTCTATTGTTAATTATCTTAGTGATTAATTTCGTATATAATCTTTGTCGTTAATTATCTTGGTGATTAATTTCATATATTATCTATCGTTAATTATCTTGGTAATTAATTTCGATGATGCTAAATATCGTAAGATAATTATCAAAAATTATCTTATTTTGTTAATTTTCGATTTTTTTATTGAGATAAATATCGATAAATAATGTATCTCAATATTTATCTCCTAAAAAAATTTCCTGATATGAAAAGAAAAATAGACTCCCCTTTTAAAACTAAATTGAATGATGGTGGTTTTTTTAAAATCCAATGTTTGGATCACATAATCTTTCAAAAATTTTAACTTTTAGTATAGATGATCTACACTATATCATTATTTTATTCCCATTTAAATTGGCACATATAAATCTTTTCAAATTATAATAAGCACCTATTGTGTATGAACTGTTTTATTTATTTTCGCTTCTTATGTTATAATATAAACACTATAGTTTGCATGAATCTTAAGCAACGTAAAAATTATAACCAACAATAAAAAATAAAGATAAATATAAGATGAAAGTAAAAAAAGTAAAAGAGATAAATGAAGTTATCAAAGAGCCAAAGAGCAAATACAGCCTATTTACTCTATTTTCTATTTAAAATAAAATGAAAATCAATCAACAGTTAATATTTTTTCAAAACAATTGAATGTAATAATGGTAAATGATAAGAATACTTGCCTATTTATTATTTAAAATAAATTGAAAATCAAACAGTTAATATTTTTCAAGCTTTAATAATAATAAACAATAAAAATACTTGCCTATTTATTATTTAAAATGAAAATCAATCAACAGTTGATATGTTTACAAAAACAATAGTAATGGTAGTAAATGATCAAAACACTTACCTTTTATTTATTATTTAAAATAAATGAAAATCAGCAGTTAATATTTTTCAAGAATAATATTGGCTGTAATAATGATGATCAAAATACTTACTTTCTATTTACTATTTAAAATAAAACAAAAATCAACAGTTAATATGTTTTCAAAAACAATGATATTGACTGTAATAGTGAAATGATGAAAATACTTACTTTCTATTTACTATTTAAAATAAACAAAAATCAACAATTAGTATGTTTTCAAAAACAATGATATTGACTGTAACAATAGTGAAGTGATGAAAATACTTACATTCTATTTTTTATTTAAAATAAACGAAAATCAACAATTAGTATGTTTTCAAAAACAACAATATTGACTGTAATAATAGTGAAGTGATGAAAATACTTACTTCCTATATTTATTATTTAAGATAAATGAAAATCAACAGTTAATATTTTTTCAAAAACAATGATATTGACTTAATAATAGTGAAATGATGAGAATACTTACACCCTATTTATATTTAAAATAAAATAAAACCAAAGTTAATATGTTTTCAAAAACAATGATATTGACTGTAAAAATAGTGAAGTGATGAAAATACTTACATCCTATTTATTATTTAAGATAAAACAAAATCAACAATTAGTATGTTTTCAAAAACAATGATATTGACTGTAATAATAGTGAAATGATGTAAATACTTACACACTATTTATTATATTTATTATTTAAAATAAAACATAAATCAACAGTTAATATGTTTTCAAAAACAATGATATTGACTGTAATAATAGTGGAATGATGAGAATACTTACAGGCTATTTATTATTTAAAATAAAACAAAAATCAACAGTTAATATGTAAAAACAATGATATTGGCTGTAATAATAGTGAAATAATGAAAATACTTACATCCTATTTATTATTTAAAATAAAACGTAAATCAGCAATTAGTATGTTTTCAAAAACAATGATATTGACTGTAATAATAGTGAAATGATGAAAATACTTACTTTCTATTTATATTTAAAATAAACAAAAATCAACAGTTAATATGTTTTCAAAAACAATGATATTGACTGTAATAATAGTGAAATTATGAAAAAATACTTACAGGCTATTTATTATTTAAAATAAAACAAAAATCAACAGTTAATATGTTTTCAAAAACAATGATATTGGCTGTAATAATAGGGAAATGACAAAAATACTTACAAGCTATTCATTATTTAAAATAAAATGAAAATCAACATTTAATATGTTTTCAAAAACAAAGATATTGACTATAATAATAATGAAATGATGAGAATACTTACCCACTACCATTATTTAAAATAAAATGAAATCAACAGTTAATATGTTTTCAAAAACAATGATATTGGCTGTAATAATAGTGGAAAGATGAAAATACTTACCCACTACCATTATTTAAAATAAAATGAAATCAACAGTTAATATGTTTTCAAAAACAATGATATTAGCTGTAATAATAGTGGAATGATGAAAACACTTACAGGCTATTTATTATTTAAAATAAAACAAAAATCAACAGTTAATATGTTTTCAAAAACAATGATATTGGCTGTAATAATAGTGGAATGATGAAAATACTTACCCACTACCATTATTTAAAATAAAATGAAAACCAAAGTTAATATGTTTTCAAAAACAATGATATTGACTATATATAATAATAGTAACTTACTGCTCTAATTATTATTTAGAATAAATGAAACCAATAATTAATATGTTTTCAAAAACAATGATATTGATTGTAATAGTAGTACAAAAATACTTACGGAACTATTTATTATTTAAAATCAAATGAAACCCAATAGTCAGTATTTTTTCAAAAACAATGATATCGAATATAATAGTATTTATTGTAAAGTAAATATAA